TCAAAGCTTAATGGCCATTGGAGCCAAATGAGATCATACATTTTATTTGTCCTTTTATCCAGTGGCCAGAATTTAAAGCGAAATGCAACAAAGTATCAAATGCACAAAATTTTAAAGCGATACAACTCGAAACCCTACTCGCATACGAATATAAGAAATCAAAGCTCACAGTCAAGCTATTTCAGAAATCCAGGAGACTTTCTATGACGGAAATTGCCATGAAAAAGAGAATAATAATTACTTTTTTGTTAACAAAGTAATCAACGGGATTAAAGTACACCAGAGCAGTCATTATTCAAAACCACAATAGATAAAGTGCTGACGGAATCTATACAAAATTGATATATACACTCATACTTGTAGAAAAATAAAAACTTTAGAGTATGCGCAAGTAGGTACGATAAAAAGTGCAGCTCGAAAGCTAGCAGTGAAAGAAGACTGATATGAAGCAGAAACAAGTCAGTAGTCAGCCGATGAAAGGAAGTCCTTGCGACCAATACTACCAGCTGCTTTATTCTGCATCGCCTCTAATTTTGGACAGTGAGTAATCCTATGCCCAAGGCCACCACAGTACGCGCAACCAACCTCGTCACCGATAACCAACTCATGCTCCAGGGTGGATGATAGTTCCTCGAGGATAGGCGGCACGCGCTGTTTGGCCTCCATCAATAAATGCTTCAGATCGAGAAGAGTAGATTCGTCAACTGACTTGTTGATGAAAGTGGTAGCAAGACCATGCTGATTTCCACGACCAGTACGACCAATCCTATGAACTGAATATAAGTTATGTGGACATTTAGATAAGTGAAAATAGCAGTGGGAGGGATATTGATTTTAGTCGTGGTTGCATAGAGAAATAGCAAAGAATAAGCTCGTTAAAGGAGGCTGAAAGCGGTATAATTATAGTATTCAGAGGTAAAGTGATGTAAAGAGGGTAAATTAAAGGATAAATAATAGTGGAATGAGATTCAGCTGAGTAGTGTGGTGTGAACAGAGGAAAATTAAGCTAGGCTTATTGAAATACTCATGGGGGTGAGGCCAGGTAAAAGTAAAAACTCGCGA